GCAAAAACAAGAATCAAAAAAACTGAACCAATTCAACAACACCGGTCTGTTCCGTGAGCTAGGGTTGGCTCGATCAAAGGCTATGAGTGTCCAATTTGATTGGAAAACATACGAGAATTCGAATTAGAGATTTAGAATTCAAATGGGCCCAAAATATCTGCAAAAACTAGAACCAAAAAACTGAAACGATTCAACAATATATGTCTGTATAATTAGCTAGGGTTGGCTAGATCAAAGGCTAGGAGTGTCCAATTTAATTGGAAAAAGTTTGAGAATTCAAATTAGAGATTGAGGATTCTATGGGACACAAAAGATCTGTGAAAACATGAATTAAAAAACTGAACCGATTCAAAAACACTTGTCTGTTCCGTGAGCTAGGGTTGGTTAGATCAAAGGCTAGAAGTGTCCAATTTGACTGGAAAAAGTATGAGAATTCAAATTAGATATTGAGGATTCTAATGGACACAAAAGATCTGCAAAAACCTGAATCAAAAAAACTGAACCGATTCATCCACACCCGTCCGTTACGTAAGCTAGGGTTGGCTAGATCAAAGGCAAGGAGTGTCCAATTTGATTGGAAAAAGTATGAGAATTCAAATTAGAGATTGATGATTCTAATGGACACAAAAGATCTATGAAAACATGAATTAAAAAACTAAACCGATTCAACAACACCTGTCTGTTTCGTGAGCTAGGGTTGGTTAGATCATAGGCTAGGAGTGTCCAATTTGACTGGAAAAAGTATGAGAATTCAAATTTGAGATTGAGGATTCTAATGGACACAAAAGATCTACAAAAACATCAATAAAAAAACTGAACCGATTCAACAACACCTGTCTATTCCGTGAGCTAGGGTTGGCCATATCACAGGCAAGGAGTGTCCAATTTGATTCGAAAAAGTATGAGAATTCAAATTAGAGATTGATGATTCTAATGGACACAAAAGATCTGCAAAAACAAGAATCAAAAAAACTGAACCAATTCAACAACACCGGTCTGTTCCGTGAGCTAGGGTTGGCTCGATCAAAGGCTATGATTGTCCAATGTGATTGGAAAACATATGAGAATTCGAATTAGAGATTTAGAATTCAAATGGGCCCAAAAGATCTGCAAAAACTAGAACCAAAAAAACTGAAACGATTCAATAATATCTGTCTGTATAATTAGCTAGGGTTGGCTAGATCAAAGGCTAGGAGTGTCCACTTTAATTGGAAAAAGTTTGAGAATTCAAATTAGAGATTGAGGATTCTAAGGGACACAAAAGATCTGTGAAAACACGAAATTAAAAAACTGAACCGATTCCACAACACCTGTCTGTTCCGTGAGCTAGGGTTGATTAGATCAAAGGCTAGGAGTGTCCAATTTGACTGGAAAAAGTGTGAGAATTCAAATTAAAGATTAAGGATTCTAATGGACACAAAAGATCTGCAAAAACAAGAATAAAAAAACTGAACCAATTCAACAACACCGGTCTGTTCCGTGAGCTAGGGTTGGCTCGATCAAAGGCTATGAGTGTCCAATTTGATTGGAGAACATACGAGAATTCGAATTAGAGATTTAGAATTCAAATGGGCCCAAAATATCTGCAAAAACTAGAACCAAAAAAACTGAAACGATTCAACAATATGTCTGTATAATTAGCTAGGGTTGGCTAGATCAAAGGCTAGGAGTGTCCAATTTAATTGGAAAAAGTTTGAGAATTCAAATTAGAGATTGAGGATTCTATGGGACACAAAAGATCTGTGAAAACATGAATTAAAAAAACTGAACCGATTCAAAAACACTTGTCTGTTCCGTGAGCTAGGGTTGGTTAGATCAAAGGCTAGAAGTGTCCAATTTGACTGGAAAAAGTATGAGAATTCAAATTTGAGATTGAGGATTCTAATGGACACAAAAGATCTGCAAAAACACAATCAAAAAACTGAACCGATTCACACAACACCTGTCTGTTCCGTGAGCTAGGGTTGGCTAGATCAAAGGCAAGGAGTGTCCAATTTGATTGGAAAAAGTATGAGAATTCAAATTAGAGATTGATGATTCTAATGGACACAAAAGATCTGCAAAAACAAGAATCAAAAAAACTGAACCAATTCAACAACACCGGTCTGTTCCGTGAGCTAGGGTTGGCTCGATCAAAGGCTATGAGTGTCCAATTTGATTGGAAAACATACGAGAATTCGAATTAGAGATTTAGAATTCAAATGGGCCCAAAATATCTGCAAAAACTAGAACCAAAAAAACTGAAACGATTCAATAATATCTGTCTGTATAATTAGCTAGGGTTGGCTAGATCAAAGGCTAGGAGTGTCCAATTTAATTGGAAAAAGTTTGAGAATTCAAATTAGAGATTGAGGATTCTATGGGACACAAAAGATCTGTGAAAACATGAATTAAAAAAACTGAACCGATTCAAAAACACTTGTCTGTTCCGTGAGCTAGGGTTGGTTAGATCAAAGGCTAGAAGTGTCCAATTTGACTGGAAAAAGTATGAGAATTCAAATTAGATATTGAGGATTCTAATGGACACAAAAGATCTGCAAAAATTTTTTTTTTTTTTTTTTTTTTTTTTTTTTTTTTTTTTTTTTTTTTTTTTTTTTTTTTTTTTTTTTTTTTTTTTTTTTTTTTTTTTTTTTTTTTTTTTTTTTTTTTTTTTTTTTTTTTTTTTTTTTTTTTTTTTTTTTTTTTTTTTTTTTTTTTTTTTTTTTTTTTTTTTTTTTTTTTTTTTTTTTTTTTTTTTTTTTTTTTTTTTTTTTTTTTTTTTTTTTTTTTTTTTTTTTTTTTTTTTTTTTTTTTTTTTTTTTTTTTTTTTTTTTTTTTTTTTTTTTTTTTTTTTTTTTTTTTTTTTTTTTTTTTTTTTTTTTTTTTTTTTTTTTTTTTTTTTTTTTTTTTTTTTTTTTTTTTTTTTTTTTTTTTTTTTTTTTTTTTTTTTTTTTTTGCCAGAGAGGATCACACAAACCACCATCATAAAGAATATACAACTGGGGAACTAACTCTCAGCCAGCACGTACAGCCGACACAGTCAAAGCTTGTACGCCTGAAATACCAGTCCTACGCGTGCAGACTACCCCAAATCCAAGGTCCACAGCAACATCCCCTCAAGGATGTCCTGAACTCAAATAATTCCAAGTGTATTCAGTATCAGTAATCAAGTTTCAGATCCAAGGAGGTACATAGGATAGTGCTTAAAGCACTCCAAACAGACATATCAATAATCACCCCTTTACATAAACTCATATTAACCTCCCAAGTACCCCACACATAACCATATGTGTATATATTCTCAAAACCCAAACATATTATCAAAACTTTATGAAAACCACGAATTTCACATTCGAATATATACCATATTCAATAAACAAAATAAAGCAATATGCCATATTTTCCATGAATAAAGTCATGTTGAAGTTTTGAAAGAAAAGTCCACTCACAAGTAGTCCCACACAGTTTGACCCTGAGAGGGTCCCGCCTGCTGCGTATACGGGGTCGGAGTACCTGATTCAGAATACGAAAATGCGATTAACATCAAGCGCTTCGAAACAGAACTTTAAAATAAAACTCTAGCTTCTCAGGTTTCCAGTGAGTACGAGGAAAGAGGTGTTCTAGGGTCCAACTACTCAATTCGCACGATGAAACAGCCTCGGAAGACACTCGGTCAACCGACGATCAAACTTTCCAATTCGAGTCAACCGGGCCCACGGGACCCATGACCTCCGTTTTTCAATCCGGGAGTTCCTATAGGTTTTACAAGGTCTAGGATACACGTCCTGCAAGTTTGGTCTGAAACAGGCGGTTAGATCGCTCACGATCACACGATTGGACGGTTACTGAAACCCTAACCCTAGGGTTGGCATTTTCGGAGAATACGGGACTCCGTTTTGCGGTCCGTTGAATCCTACACGATCCTAAGGGTGTCTAGAGTAACATACTTCAATTTGAAAACGATCCAACGGTCGGAACATATCGAACCCGGATAACGCACAATATGCGATAATCCGTTCGATAGTCAAACGACCTCGGAATCGAGATCCACGAAATCCTACGCGCTCGTGACAACCTAAGGATCACACTGGAACAATTTGCAGCTCCACCACACTTGCCCACACGCCGCCACAAGCGCTGGCAGCAAGCGGTTGTGTAGAGAAATTCCGGTGACGGAAAATCTCCAAATCACAAGTCACCCTCGCGGCTACAGGTCCTACTCAACTAGGGGAGCACTTCATTCAACTACGGCCAAGCCCAAAACCGCCGGGAACTGGCCGGAATTTCGAATTGAAAACCGGCCAAAACCCTAACTTCTCAAATCGGGTTCTACGCATCAAAAAGATCCAATCCTAACCAAAGGTAGCTAGAACAGATATAGAGAGGAAGAAACCTCACCTCAAACATCGGAAAAAGGCGGCGGAGACGATGGCGCAACGATTGGAAAATCCCGAAATGAGAAAATCTCGAAACGAACCAGTTGCAATTGTCGGATGTTCTTGAGTTTTCCGGCGACGAAAGCTATTGGGTCTTGACCGGGATGTGGAGACGAAGCTTTTGGGACCGGTCTTGAGGGCTGAGGTGGCCGGAAGTGGTGGCGGCGTGGATTTTTCTGTTCGGGTGAACAGTAACTCTGGAGTTTTTGTGTAGAGAGGGAGAAGAGCTCGGGGAGAGAGAAAGAGAGAAAGAGTGAGAGTGAGGTAAAACTGAAAGCAAAGCTGATTTTTACCTAAACCCTTCTCGAGTTAATTACGATTTTTCCACCACACGTCCACGGACTCACCTCAATGCGACCAATCCAAAAATACCAAACACTGCCCCAAACTCTCTTTCCGGATTAAGAAAATGACCGAAATACCCTACCCCAAGGGTAATTTCGTAAATTCACATTTAATTAGATTAAATACTTTAAATTGGAAATTTACTTGGAGTCGGGGTGTTACAGTCGAAGCCTTCACAATTCTCCGAGAGGCCTCAAAAATTTCCAAATCACCCCTGCCGTTCGGCAGGTTCTTTTCCAACTACACAGCGCTTGCCACATTTGGTTGAAACCTCCATTTTTTGACCTTGCTGAACCGGAGAAGACCCCTTGCTAGAGCCGTGACAACACGAGCCGAGACTTTCTGCTGCCGAAGCCGAGACTTGCCGATGCCGAATGCCCCCACAACCTTTAGCCTTGCTGAACGGTAGGAACCATGAAAAATCTTCTCACGAAAAGACTCGCTTGTTTTAGCTGTTAGGCACTGAAACAGTGAGACGACGAATCCAACATGCAGCTGGCGTTGGGCTTCGCGACCTTCACTCTTGCTGATAGACCAAGGACCTAGATCAAAGGAGCAAAGAATGCCTCCAAAAAGGCTCCCAAGCCACCCTTGCCGTTCGGCAAGGGCAATGCTGTAGACTCGGTGCCCTGTTACATTACTATTAAGGCTATGATATGGGAGCTCGGTTTCTTATTTTTTTGGTATCTTATATATATAACTTACAATTCTTCTAATGCCATAAGGATTGTTTCTGGTTTGCTTAAAGGATTTGAAGGATAAAGGAATTTTAATAAGAAACTTTAATTTTGGAAACCATTAGGAATGTTTGGCTAACTGAATTGGTTCAAGATTCTCTTCAGGGTTTCAACATTGAAACAATAGAGAATTTCATGCTTTTAAATAGGAATTAATATGGTTTGTTAATTTCTTTAAAGATTTCTTGTGAATGTAGGACATAATTTGTGGTATTACAGTTGCTAACATCACAGTTTATGCATAAAGTTTTATCCCTTGACCACTGAATGACATTCACAGAAAGAATTTTCTTATTTGATAATTTTGGGAGTCTTATGTATGCACGAGTTTGTAATAGGCCAGACTTGGCATTTGTCATCAGTGTGTTAAGTAAATTCCGGTCCAATGTTGGAAACGCTCATTGGAATGCAGTAAAGAAAGTGTTTTAGGTATCTGTAAAAGGCAAAGAGTAACATGCTGGTTTAAAAGAGAACTAAAGATTTTTGCAGGATGTCCTGAAGTACGTCGACCTCCAGTAATGTATTCTTGTTGGATGAAGGGGCAGTTTATTGAAAGGAGTCAAGGAAGCAACAGTTGCAGTTTTATTGTAATAATACAAGAGCAGTTTTATTCTAAAGAAACAATAAAAGATCTGTAGGTACCAAGCATTTTCTTGATGGTTAAAGAAAAGATCAAGGAGAGGCATCTCAAGATAGATTACAAAGATACAAAGTCTATGGTTACATATCCACTTAATAAAGCTGTGCCAGTAGATGTTTCAAGAGCCATGTTGAAAGGATGAGGATCTTGGCAAGCATTCATTCAACAAACTTGATTAGTTCATATCTTGATGGCGTTCCATGTAGATGAAAGATTTGTGTACCTGATCTTGGGGAATGTTTTTAAGTTTAAATGAACATTACTCCCTCTGGTCTTGCATAAATACTTTCATCTGACAGGAATTTGATTATAGGACTTTGTTGTTGTGAACTCATGGCCATACAATACAACTGCGTTTGAGCTATAGATTGACTGTTAGCCCTAGTGGGAGACCGTAAGCATAAATAAGGGCTTTACACTCATCCTAGTGGATTACAACTCAAATGCAGAAGTAGAGTCCATTTACAATTCACCTTGTTGCTCATACAGGTGCTAATACAAGAACAAATTTAAAAGCTTAAATGAATTAGATTTTTCACTTGAGGTGGTGTAATATTTCAATATTTTTTTTCTGTTCTTTGGTGGGTTGGTTTTGTGTTCCTATGTGCAAGAGGAGGAGGAGACATCTTTTTTTTTTTTTTTTTTTTTCTCTGCAAACAAGAGGGCATGATCAAATGTCAAAATCTATAACAGAAATACAATATCCAAAGAATGAAGAGCAGTCCAACCAAGAAGAACCATCAATGGATGAATATTGAATGCATAAAGATTAATCAAGTTTCATGCGGAGTTGGCAGAGGGGAGGAATTGTCATCGTTGTCGTTGGTGTGGTGAGGTGAACATGTCGTTTGAGAGAGAGCCAAGAGAGGAGAATAAGGCGGGAAGCATGGAGAGGAATGGAATTAGAGGCATGAGATCTCTTCTTCTACGGAACTGACTTGTGCTTCCCAATTTCAATCTCAAGCTCAAATTTGCAGCAAAATTTTTTCAATTTCGGGTTTCAGACTTTCAGTCAATCGCAGTGTTTGAAAAATCGGCCTAGGCGGCTAGGCGGGTTGGCTCATTTTTTGGTACCGAACCTAGAGGACGAAGCAGCCAAAACCGAGGAAAACAAATCGAAGGTTGAGTTGATAGAGAGGCGAAATGGCTGTGACTGCAAGTGCAAGCTTAGTGTTCATGTTGAATATATTGAAAGCGTATAGCCGCGCGGCTATACGTTTAGAATATTTTAAAGAGAGTAGCCGAACGGCTATACACGGCAGCTATACTCTTTAACTATACAATTTTTTCATATCATTTAAGGGTTTAGGGCTAAAATACCACTTTAGCCCATTGGGCTACACTTATTTCTTCAATTATTTTATTTATACAAGTGACGTTGGGGAATGAGAATTTTTCCGATACATTCCATTCAAATATGTAAAATGTTGCTACTAGGGTGTGGATGAGGGTGAGGGTGAGGGTGAGGGTGAGCTAGCCATCAGAAGGGAATCTTCACGGTTCAATTCCCCAAGTCTTCTCCGCGTAGTCTTGGATTGTTCTATTGCTGCTAAATATCCCTGATCCGGCTGTGCTAAGGATGCTCATCTGAGTCCACTTATTTGGATCCGCAAATGCTTTATCAACAGCAGCCTGTAGTCATATAGATTCAAATCCCATGCACCATAGTAAGTTATACAACACCATACTTCCAAGTGCATATATATGCTTTGGGTTGGGACTGCCAAGTAAACAGAAATAATTACCTGAGCCTCTAAATAGCTCTCAAAATCAGAACCAAGCAAATAGAAGTCTTTACCACCGTCCACAGTATCACATAGAGATTGAAAATAGTCTTTAAAGCCGAAATAGCCATCTCGGACCATCCTACACATAATAAATATCACAGCAGAATTAAACCCTGATTAGATGAAAAGCTAGGAGTGTCCAATTTGATTGGAAAAAGTGTTAGAATTCAAATTAAAGATTAAGGATTCTAATGGACACAAAAGATCTGCAAAAACAAGAATAAAAAAAAACTGAACCAATTCAACAACACCGGTCTGTTCCATGAGCTAGGGTTGGCTCGATCAAAGGCTATGAGTGTCCAATTTGATTGGAGAACATACGAGAATTCGAATTAGAGATTTAGAATTCAAATGGGCCCAAAATATCTGCAAAAACTGAAACGATTCAACAATATCTGTCCGTATAATTAGCTAGGGTTGGCTAGATCAACGGCTAGGAGTGTCCAATTTAATTGGAAAAAGTTTGAGAATTCAAATTAGAGATTGAGGATTCTATGGGACACAAAAGATCTGTGAAAACATGAATTAAACAAACTGAACCGATTCAAAAACACTTGTCTGTTCCGTGAGCTAGGGTTGGTTAGATCAAAGGCTAGAAGTGTCCAATTTGACTGGAAAAATTATGAGAATTCAAATTAGATATTGAGGATTCTAATGGACACAAAAGATCTGCAAAAACCTGAATCAAAAAAACTGAACCGATTCATCCACACCCGTCCGTTACGTAAGCTAGGGTTGGCTAGATCAAAGGCAAGGAGTGTCCAATTTGATTGGAAAAAGTATGAGAATTCAAATTAGAGATTGATGATTCTAAGGGACACAAAAGATCTATGAAAACATGAATTAAAAAAACTAAACCGATTCAACAACACCTGTCCGTTTCGTGAGCTAGGGTTGGTTAGATCATAGGCTAGGAGTGTCCAATTTGACTGGAAAAAGTATGAGAATTCAAATTTGACATTGAGGATTCTAATGGACACAAAAGATCTACAAAAACATCAATCAAAAAAACTGAACCGATTCAACAACACCTGTATATTCCGTGAGCTAGGGTTGGCCATATAACAGGCAAGGAGTGTCCAATTTGATTCGAAAAAGTATGAGAATTCAAATTAGAGATTGATGATTCTACTGGACACAAAAGATCTGCAAAAACAAGAATAAAAAAAACTGAACCAATTCAACAACACCGGTCTGCTCAGTGAGCTAGGGTTGGCTCGATCAAAGGCTATGATAGTCCAATGTGATTGGAAAACATATGAGAATTCGAATTAGAGATTTAGAATTCAAATGGGCCCAAAAGATCTGCAAAAACTAGAACCAAAAAAACTGAAACGATTCAATAATATCTGTCTGTATAATTAGCTAGGGTTGGCTAGATCAAAGGCTAGGAGTGTCCACTTTAATTGGAAAAAGTTTGAGAATTCAAATTAGAGATTGAGGATTCTAAGGGACACAAAAGATCTGTGAAAACACGAAATTAAAAAACTGAACCGATTCCACAACACCTGTCTGTTCCGTGAGCTGGGGTTGATTAGATCAAAGGCTAGGAGTGTCCAATTTGACTGGAAAAAGTGTGAGAATTCAAATTAAAGATTAAGGATTCTAATGGACACAAAAGATCTGCAAAAACAAGAATAAAAAAAACTGAACCAATTCAACAACACCGGTCTGTTCCGTGAGCTAGGGTTGGCTCGATCAAAGGCTATGAGTGTCCAATTTGATTGGAGAACATACGAGAATTCGAATTAGAGATTTAGAATTCAAATGGGCCCAAAATATCTGCAAAAACTAGAACCAAAAAAACTGAAACGATTCAACAATATCTGTCTGTATAATTAGCTAGGGTTGGCTAGATCAAAGGCTAGGAGTGTCCAATTTAATTGGAAAAAGTTTGAGAATTCAAATTAGAGATTGAGGATTCTATGGGACACAAAAGATCTGTGAAAACACGAATTAAAAAACTGAACCGATTCAACAACACTTGTCTGTTCCGTGAGCTAGGGTTGGTTAGATCAAAGGCTAGAAGTGTCCAATTTGACTGGAAAAAGTGTGAGAATTCAAATTAAAGATTGAGGATTCTAATGGACACAAAAGATCTGCAAAAACAAGAATAAAAAAAACTGAACCGATTCAACAACACCGTCTGTTCCGTGAGCTAGGGTTGGCTCGATCAAAGGCTATGAGTGTCCAATTTGATTGGAAACATACGAGAATTCGAATTAGAGATTTAGAATTCAAATGGGCCCAAAATCTATGCAAAAACTAGAACCAAAAAAACTGAAACGATTCAACAATATGTCTGTATAATTAGCTAGGGTTGGCTAGATCAAAGGCTAGGAGTGTCCAATTTGATTGGAAAAAGTGTGAGAATTCAAATTAGAGATTGAGGATTCTAATGGACACAAAAGATCTGAAAACAATAAAAAACTGAACCGATTCACAACACCTGTCTGTTCCGTGAGCTAGGGTTGGCTAGATCAAAGGCTAGGAGTGTCCAATTTGATTGGAAAAAGTATGAGAATTCAAATTAGAGATTGATGATTCTAATGGACACA